GTGCTAGGGCTCTGTCCCTCCTGTCCAAGTCCTCTCCAGGTCTCTGGACCACATCAGCTCCCCCAGAGAGCTGTGCCTTGGGCTGATTGGGCACAGTTGGCACAGGTGTGGGAGCACAGCGAGTGCAGGTGCCATGCAGTCATCGCCTGCTGTGTCCCTACAGCTGTGGTGCTGCCAGCTTGGCCCAAGGCCAGCCCCCACCACTGCTCCTCTCTGCTGACAGTGCAGGTGCAGGCACCTCACAGCCCTGCAACAGGTCAGATGGGGCTGTGGGAAGGATTTGGTGCCCAGGAACTGCAGCTCCCAGCTGCTCCAGCAGCCTCTTCCCGTGCCCAGGTGCCGAAGAGCTGCAAGGCTGGAGCAAGAGTCCAGCGCTGGTCAGCACCTGGCACAGCCCGGGGCAAGGCAGGTCAGCATGGGTGCTGTGTCACAAGGGCTTGGTCCCTGGGCTCAGACCCCACTGCTGCCGGGTGCTGGGTGCTGCTCCTCGCTCCTGTCCCCGCGCAGGAGCCACCTCTGGAAGCCTCTCCCCAGGGCCCCCACAGGGTTAAAAGCTTCTGCTGCGCTTACAGCACTGGGGACACACAGCTTCTCATCATGCAGGTAAGACAAACCAGCCGGCACCTGGGGCATGGGTGGCACATGGATCATAGGACAGCAGCTGGGGACGAGGTGCCATCCAGTCTCTGCTCTTGGCTGCGGAGGTGAGGAGGGGTGAGCGGTCAGGGCTTCACCAGGACCCTGTCATGCACTGCTGGGGGCAACCCCAGGGCTCTGGGTGGTCTGGGCAGGCTGTGGCTGCTGCTGCTGCCTCCAGTAGAGGCATCCAGTCCTTTCCAAGAGAAATGAATCCTGTGTTGTTATCTGCTCCCTCAGTTCAGCCGTGCCCTCGCACTGGACCATGGCTGTGCCCAGGGCTCAGGACCCCACCTCCCAGGGCTGAATGCTCCAGGCTGTCTGCTCTGCCCACCTGAGTGAGTACAGGTGCAGTGGCTCAGTGAGGAGAACCACATCCTCCCGCAGGAGCAGCTTCCCTGCGTGGGTAGGAGCACAAAAGTGCACTTTTAGAGCTGGGTCTCTGGCTGGCTCACATGGCACTGTCACAAAGGTCCCTCCCATCTCCTGAGGGAAGGACAGGAACCTGCCTGGCACTGGTGCATCTGTGTTCCCTCTCTGCTTCCCATCCAGCCTTTCTGGCCTTGCCTGCCTGGGCAGAGGTGTGTGTACCTGCTCTGGTACCTGCACAGGGTAACACCTGCTCAGTCTATAGTTACCATGAGAAATCACCTTCAGTGCAGGTGAGAGAGGGAGGAAAAGGGTCGAGCAAGGTGGAGGCTCTTTCCAGGCTCATCCCTGTGCAGTCCAGGGGGGACAGGGAGATTCTCCTCCCGTATCTTCCTATTCCTTGGTGCTCAGGATGTCTGAAGACAAATGGATTAAATCTGGCATCTCTGAACTGTGGCTGTGTTTGCTGACTGCCACGTCGCTCCTCACTAGGGTGAAACTCAGGGTCATTCCTCTGCACATTCCTGTGGCTGCTCTGCAGCCCTGCAGTTGCATGTCCACTCCAGCCTGGATTTGTCAGCATCGGGAGGGCACCAGATGAGCTCTTGAACCCTTGCTGTTTCTCCTGCAGTGACATTACCCATTCCCTGCATGCTGTGCCACACAGGGTCACTGCAGGGCTCAAGGTTTGTTTCCTGCTGTGATGGGCTCACTTTCCTCTTGCTCACCTGCTCTTATTCCAGGTGTTGAGGCCCAGCTTGGAGTATGAACAGGTGACTAACCCTTATATGTCCAACCTCCTACTATTGAATTTATTCACATTTTTGTCACTCTGGTTCCTGAAGTCCCCTATTCCTTCTGCCTCTGACGAACAGGTCAGTGGAGCAGTGTCCAGGCAGGTCCTGGACAGAGCCTTCCCCTCTCACCCCACACAGCATGGTACCTGTGCCCTGACAAACCAGCTGCCTGAGTGCTGTGGCAGCTCACGCAGCCTGAGTTTCCTGTGAGCACAGATCCATGTGCAGGCTGTGTGGCACCGCAGCAGGGACAGCGGCAGGCAGGAGGCATTTCCTGGGGAGTGGCACCATGGGCTCCCCCAGCGCTCACCCCCCAGGACCCTCTCCCAGCAGCACTGGGACAGGTGGACTGGGCTGCTCCTTCATCAAAATGTTCTTGGCTCAGCCTGGAGCTGGAGGAAGAGCAACAGTCTGAGATTTCCAGACCACCGGATTGATACAGTCCTTGTGTCCCTCTCCAATATGTGCAGTAATTTAAGAAACCCCAAAGTGTGCAAAATAAGTAGTTAAAGAATATGTTGATCTGTGCAACTACTTGAGAGCTTGCCCACTGAGAGGTTTCGCAGCCTGGCACATCCCAAATGGAGTGACAAGTTAGGATGTCTCTGTGCCAGGCAAGGAAGAAGTCATCTTCTGACTGAACATTTTCCTCTCAAAGTTGTTGGTTTTGGTTTTTTTAGGTGTTGAAAAACTAGCAAGTGAAAGAGAAATGAATCAGATCTTAATTTTGCTTAGCAAACCCTGGTATTGCTCCCAGTGCACAGGGAGAAAATACCCTCAGAACAGGATAGTCTTCAGCTGGAGGATCTGAAAGTTATGAATGAAACAGAACTGACAATGGAGCAATTCCAGCAGGCAGAAGTGCAGAATTTTAACAGTGCTTTGACAGTTTCCTGTGGTAAGCAGCTATAAGAAACAAACTCCCACTAGAAGCAGTGAATTCTCCAGCAATTAATATTATAAATGCATGACTGATGCACAGATACAAGAATAGGGCAGGGTAATTGAAGTCAGATTAATGGGTCTAAATCAAGGGAACCAACCTGAAATCAAATCAGATTGGTTAATCTCCGGAACAGACAAGACAATTGACTTCAGTTGCTAAAAATACTTTTATAAAGAGGAAGGGGATGCTTCTTTCTTCTTCTTTTTCTTTTCTTTCTCCTCACTGCATTTGCCCACTGAAGCACCTTGGCTCCACCCATGGAGTCCATGGCAGGGGCAGGGTGGGCAGCAGCAGCCCTGGCTGGATGTGCCCAGCACGTGCCACCCCCATCAGCCCCTGGCTGAAGTTCTGAACCAGAAATGCTTCCTCAGATGTCCTCCATCTCTTGGACATAGGGATCACAGCTCCATGTGACAGTGAGCAAACCCCTTTTGTCAGGGTGAAAATTGAAATAAGATGATGGAAAAAAGGTAGGGAGTTCCAGGCCAGGAGATCCCTGCTGGCTTAAATTTTCCTGTGGCTCAACAAACCCCATGTGATGAGTTGCTCTTTGTTGGAACCTGTACTTTTGTGTGACCCCTGCTTTGTGAGAGCTGGTTATTACAGAGCAGGATACAGGATAAAGAAAAAAAAAAAATGACTGGTGCAGGGTGATGCCATATCCCCAGCCCAGGGCTGGGGAAGAGCAAGCTCAGCGACAGCATCAGGGAATGCTGTGACCTGACCAGGGGCAGGGAAACATTTACTCAGAATAAATACATCCAGGAGGGGGAGGGACACATGCTTGGAATAATCATCAGGACAAGGGGCTGGGTAGGTAAAGAACTCCAAGAGGCGTGGGTGGATACCCCCTGCTCTTGGGTTTTTCTGTGTGCTTGTTTTGCAGCCAGGTACCCAACACAGGACGGCAGCTCTTTGGACTCCAAAATCCCAGCGTCTGTGAAATCTGAACTCAAGAAACTTTCAACCATCAGGGAGATGGGATCAGAGCTGTGCCACTAGGGACCCCATTGCCTCATGAGGGGCTGTGCTCTAGTCCCCTGGCTCACAGTCCTCCCTCCTCCTCAGAGCTTACTTGTGCCCAAAGCCTGACCCGGCTTGCCCCATGGCAGGTACGAACCAGACGCAGGTGACGGAGTTTGTGCTCCTGGGCTTTTCCCATGGCCGGCCCTTCCTCTTTGCTCTTTTCCTGGCCATTTACCTGGCCACGCTGCTGGGCAACTCTGCAATACTCTCCCTCGTGTCCCTGGATCCCCACCTCCACAGCCCCATGTACTTCTTCCTCAGTCACCTTTCCTGCCTGGACCTTTGCTACTCATCAGTGACGGTGCCCAAGATCCTGGCGAACGCTCTGCGCCCGCAGGCCACCATCTCCTACGCGGGGTGCCTGGCGCAGATGTTCCTGCTGATGTGGTGCGCGGGGGCCGAGTGCGCGCTGCTCGCCCTCATGGCCTACGACCGCTTCGCCGCCGTGTGCCAGCCGCTGCGCTACAGCCAGGCCCTGCGCCGCAGCACCTGCGCCGCCGCTGCCGCCGGCTGCTGGCTCTGGGGGCTGCTGGACTCGGCCGTGCACACGCTCCTGGCGGCCCGGCTCTCCTTCTGCGGGGTTGCCCGGCTCCAGCACATCTTCTGCGATGTGCCGCCGCTGCTGGGGGCCACCTGCAGCGACCCCCACCCAAATGAGCTGGCCCTCCACATCTCCAGCATCTTTGTGGGACTCAGTCCCTTTCTGCTCGTCGTAATCTCCTACCTTTGCATCCTGGCCACCGTCCTTGGGATGCCACTGGCCACCAGCCGGCGCAAGGCCTTCTCCACGTGCTCTGCGCACCTGATCGTGGTCACCCTGTACTTCGTGGCAGCCAACCTGAACTACAACCGGCCCAGCTCGGGCTACTCCCCGGCAGCTGACACGCTGGTCTCTGTGCTGTACTGCATCATCATCCCCATGCTGAACCCGCTCGTCTACAGCCTCCGCAACCAGGAGGTGTGGGCGGCCCTGCGGAAGGCTGTGCGGGTGAGTGCCACACGAGGCTCCCCAGGCAACAATGCCTGAGCAGCGCCAGGGCTGCCACAGGCTGCCAACATGGCACTGCCACTGCCGTGTCCATCTGTGGGACGCCTGCGACAGCACGGCCAGCCTGAGGCTCCCAGCCCAAGCACATGGCACACTGCCATCTCTCGTCTCACCCTCAGCGCATCACTGAGAGCAGAATGGCAAAATAAAGTCAGGAACAAGGCTACAGGTCCAGGATTCTGTCTTTATTTTCCAGATGCCATGTGCCGAGCTTGGCACAGGATGCGCTGCATCTGTGCTACTGCCAGTGAGCTCTGCAAAAGGCAAATTCATGTGGAGCCAGACATGTGCTGGCCCCGAGCACTGCCTCAGGGCTGCCCCAGGTCTTGAGTCAGGCTCTGTGCAGAACAAGGGCAGTGCTTTGGACTGCAAAACCTGGCCTGGGCAAGAGGGGTTGTCCCACCATCCACTGTCCCCACGTGCCTTGGCTTCAAATCTGATCTCTGCTGGGTTTCCTCAGGCTGCCAGGGAGGCTCTGCAGCACTCTGTACATAAGCACAGCAGCTTGCACAGGCCACCCACAGCCTCAGTGCTGCACTCAGACACGGAGGTCTTGGCACTGAGCTCAGAGCTGGTGGCACTGAACTCCTCACCAGAAATGCTTTGCTTTATGGCCAGAAAAATTTCCCTGTTGTGTGTGTGCTGTGGCTCTGGGTGATTCTGTGGCTGAGGACTGGATGGGGGTCTGCAGCGGGGCCCAAGCTCAAATGATTCTGTGGCTGTGGGGGAAGTGGCCAAATCTGCAGGTGTGCACATGAGGCACATGAGCACTGCAGCAGAGCCAGGAGCAGGGGCTCACCAGGGCAAGGGAGATGGCACAGGCAGGTGACACCTGCAGTCACACCACCTACATCGGCTGGACCCAAACACGCTCATGTGTAGCTGTTACCAAGAGATACCCAACAGTATCTAATCTGTTCCCAAAGAAACCCACCGGAGAGTCAGAACTGGGACTAGGAGGCACACAGCCTTGCTGGGATCAGTTTGCCATTTCTTAGTACACAACACATGCTGATTTTACTCTTCAGGGAAAGAAATGTTTCTGTAACCCATCTGCTGGGTTGGGCTGTTGCTCCCATCCAGACAGGCTGTGAGCCCCTCAGCCCTCCTTGCTATACACCCTTCTGGATTCTAAAAAGTCCTTGAAGCACCCTCAGTCCAGTGTCACTGGACACATCAGAGTCTGACCAGTGAACACCCTTCTGAGGAGCCCCTGGAAGGGGACAGCAGGAAACAGCAGAAACTGCACAAGGAAAAAGACTGGGGAAGCTGCCTCAGAGAAACAAAAAACCCAAAGCACTCCAAACAAAAACCCCAAAGCCAACCAAATAGAAACCTAAACAAGAAACCTCAGGAAAAGTTACATAAAAATTGATAATTTTTAACCTGAATCCCAATGCACCTTTCCTGTGACAGGCAGTGTTGGGTGTTCCCAGGATCAAACACTGAGCAGGAATGTCACACTCCTGCACAGGTAGTACAGGCTTGGTCAACTGCAGGGTGGTCCAGAACTCACCTGCAAACCACACTTCACTCTAAAGCTTTAGTGTCACAGAGGCACCCTCTGCACACACTGCTGGCAGTGGCAGTGACGGGCTGTGCTCCCACAGTGCCTCAGGTGTTCCTGCAGCCTCTCAGGTGTGCTCCCACAGCCCCTCAGTCCCACAGAACCTCAGGTGCTGTTCTACTCAGCTGTCTCTGGCTTATTCCTGCTGTGATGGTACCTGCATCCCACAGAAGAACAATTCCCGCAGCTGAACATCCACCTAAGAGGTATGGGCTTGAGGGAGGGCTTTACTTTGCATTTCTGAAAACTGTTTTTTAAACATTAACAATAAAATGTTTCCTCCTGTCCTGCTTCCCACCTGCCCAGCCTTTCCCTCACATCTGTGATGAACAAGTCAGGCTTTTTAGGAGCCTCCAGCAGGCACAGGGGACACGAGCTGTCACAGAATCACTGGGACACAGTTTGAGCCAGGCCAGAGCAGAAGCTGGGAGGGAGGGCACAGCCCCAGGGACAGACACACCTGTGCCCAAAAGCGTCACACAGACCATCTTCATGTTTCTCTGGTCCATGCTGCAAATATGGCTTCTCCTAAAAATGGAAACCCTTCCTCGGAATAAACACAATTTTGGCTTTCCCAGGGCTCTTTTCCCTGACCCCTGATTAGGGCCACAGCAACTGACAAAGGTCCCACAGCTCACATCCCTTCTGCCTTGCCTGGACTAGATTTGCTATTTCTGCTCTGGAAATTGCCCCACTGGGAACAGGACACACTCCTGCTGGCTGACAGGTGGGGCAGCCTAGATAGAAGAGACCTTGTATTGCACTCATATGCTCTTAAACCACCCCACCTTTCCCACCTGGAGGTGGATGGGAATCAAAATCCTCTTGGGCATAAGACAAAGCATTCCTTCTGGCACTGCCAATTTGCTCCTTGATATTTCTCTGAATGTGAATATAACAAGCTGAGCCAAATGAAGCTGATAACATGGGAAAGGCTAAAGCAGAGAGACGCTGCCATGATTTGACACTGGCTAAATGCCAGGCACCCACAAAAGTCACTCACACACCCTCCCCCTGTCACAGAGGAGGGAAAAAAATAAATGAAGGGTTCATGAGTTAAGGACTGTGAGAAAACATTTCACACCATGGTCTCACTATGGCCTGCAGAGGAATCTCAGCTCTGGCACTTGGAGCACCTCCTGCCCTTCCTTCCCCACTGACCTTGCTGTCTCCAGGTTGTTTCCCTCACAGGTTCTTACCTCCCCCTCTTTGGCTAGAAAAAAGCACAAACAAACTGTGCCCACTTTGTGTTGTTGTTGTTATTCTTCTTCTTCAATATGTGATTCACAGAGGCAAGAGGTGGACTTTGTTGGTTTTGCATGGCCTGGTATTTGGTAGTGGGGGGCACAGAGGTGGCTTCTGTGAGAAGCTGCTGGAATCTTCCACCATGTCCAGCAGAGCCAACCTCTGGTGGCTCTGAAAATGGACGTGCTGCTGGCCACAGCTGGGCCAATGAGAGATGATGGAAACACCTCCATGATCTAAGTGAGGAGCAATTTCAATTCCAGCCAGAGAAGAGGAGAAGGTGAGAACATGTGAGGGAGACAACCTGGAGACACCAAGGTCAGTGCAGAAGGAAGGGCAGGAGGTGCTCCAGGGGCCAGAGCTGAGATTCCTCTGCAGCTGAAGTGAGACCATGGTGAGACAGCTGTGCCCCTGCAGCCTCTGGGGAGCCATGGGGGATGCAGAGAGTCATGAACAGCTCCAGGGGATGCAGAGATACACCCACAGCCCCGGGGGAGTGCCCATGCCAGATCAGTGGATGCCTAGAGGAGGCTGTGATCCAGTGGGAGAGCCAGTGGAGAGAGGGGGCCCTGCTGCCAGGCTGGAGCAGCCTGTCCTTGGAGCACTGCACCCGTGGAACAGTGACCATGCTGCAGCAGCTTTTGGAGGAATGCTGCTCATGAGAGTGGACCTGTGTCAGAGAAGTTCACAGAGAACTGTCTCCCATGGGAGGGACCTCACGATCTCACCGGGGAAGGACTCCTCTCCCAGAGCAATGGAAGAAAATCTCAGTGATGAAATGACCAAAACTCCCATACCTGTCTCCCTGCAGTGTCGGTGGGAAGGAGGGAGGAGTTGGGGGAAAAAAGGTGTTTTAAGGGCTTCTTTTATTTCTCATTATCCTCCTCTGACTCTATTAGTAATAAATTCCCTTTGTACCTCTAAGTCAAGCCTATTTTGCCCTTGGAGTGTTTTCTCCCAGTCCTTAGCTCACAAAGCTTCATTAAATTTTTCTCTCCTCTGCCAAACTGTGGTAGAGGAGGGTGAATGAGTGACTTTTGTGGGTGTCTGGCATGTGCCCAGTGTCAAACCATGACAGACACAAAAGGTGGGAAGGAAGCAGCTTGCACTGTGCTAATTTCATTGCAGAAGCTTCACATAATTTGCTGGGAAGAGGCCGACTCTGCCATGGCACTGTCCCCGCCACCAGCCTTCATCCACCATCTCAATGTGTGTGATTGTGTCATCAGGATCAAAAGAAATCTCATCATCTCCATCTGTAAACATTGTCAAGAAAAGACAGTCACAATGCAAAGAGAACCCCAGAGAGAGCTGGTTCACCTTCTTCCTCCCACCTTCCCCCAGGCAGAAGACAGAACAAGTGCTCTGATAACCCCAAGAGTTTACCCCACCCAATCCCCATCCCACAGCACAGACAAAGCAGAGAAAGAGAAGACCTCACAGAAGAAAGATGAAGTTTCTCTGTTCCTGTCCTGCTCTGGGCCAGGACAAGACTAATATTTGCAGTTGTTGGGAGGAGCCATGGCCAAGACATGGAGGTTGTTCTGTATCACCTCATGTCATTGCCAGGGTGGGAGAAAGGGACTCTTGGTTCCAAGGAACACTGGGTTGAGAAAATGTGGTGGAGGGAGCCATCCAATGTTGTCTATTGCTGGGTGTTTTTCCATGTGAGTAATTTTTTTTCTTACATCTTTTGCTATTAACATTGTTGCTGTTACTGTTCACTTTCTTATCGCTGTTTCCAAAATTGTTGTTATCTCAACCTGTGACCTCTGCCTTTTTGAGCCTCCAGCTGGAGAGGAGAAGTGATTTTTTTTTTTTACTGGGAGTACTAAACTGGAGAATACCATTCCTGCACCATGATGTTCCCAAGCCAGATCTCATTGTGCTTCCCAGGAGGAAGAAATTTAAAGCACCAAGTCCCAGTCTTTTCCCTGCTGCAGTGAACCCCCTGCGGGCACAGCGCCTTCCCCCAGCCCTGAGGGCAGACCCACCTCCTTGGTAGTCATAGAGAGCCACTGCGCAGATCCCGGGGCTCTGCCCCTCAGCAGCACTGTCCGTGCTCCCTGCAGGACACAGGACACACAGATGAGACAGAGGCTGAAGCATCCCCACAGTTCTGGTCAGGGCCACCCTCCAGCCCAACTCTGGGGAAGCACGTCAAACCCTGTCAGCACGGAGAGGTGCACCACAGCCCAAAGCAAGGAGTGACTTCCCTCCCCTCCCTCAAGGAGAGACAGTTGGATCATGATCTTTCATGCTCCTCTCCCAAGAAAAAGGCTGAGAATAACTCCAACCTCTTCACTTGCCAGCAATGCCAACTGTGACAGAAGCACCGACAGCAGCCCATGCAGTTTGCTCCTGTGCTTGGACAAAGGCTACCTGCACTCCTCACACCAGAGACTCCACCACAGCAGGTCCCAGGAACACCAGCCATATGACAAATGGGCTGAACCAGAGTCATTCCCAGGGTCCAGGGCAGTACATGCCAGAAAACTGCAGCAAGAGCATTGGTCCACATCCAGCTTCTCCCAGGCCTGTGGCAGCCTCCTGCCCAGACCCTGATCCAGCAGATTCCTGCTGTCCGGTCCAGCATCCCGTTCAGCTCATCTGCACCTTAGAGCTGGGTAGGGGAGTGGGACACAACCAAGTCTCCATCACCAGAAGCTGCTATCCTGACCACAGTACATTTCAGGATAAAAATTCCCTCTGCATTTTGTCCCATACATCCAGTGAGGTTAGTGGACAGGTACAAGATTCCTAAGACACGGGCTATTCCATCAGTACTCACCCAGGTGGGGATGGCTCTGTCTGGGCTCCTGAGGAAGGATCACCTCATAGTCTTCACCTCCATCTCCTCCAAAGTCATAGGTGGCATCCAGCTTTTCCAGAGGGGCTGGCAGCTCCTCATAGTCAGCACCTCCACTGGTGCTGTCATAGTAGTCAGAGGGCTCTGGCAGCTCCTCATAGTCTCCACCAACATCCAAACTTACACTGTAGGTGGGCTGACCCTGGCTGGGGACCTTGCACAACTCTGCATCCAGATCTGCAGGCCTTGGTGGCAAAGTGGGTGGTACTTCTTCATCATCCCTTTTGGCCTCCTGCCATGAGGTGAGAAAGTGACAGCAAAGTCACCTGCAAGGCACCCACCACAGGCAACTCTCTCCTGACTCCCAGCACCTGACACAAGGCAGCCCCTTTACTGCTGCCAGGGCACAAATGGAACACCATCCCCTGCACACCAGGGCAACAGCAGAGCTGTTTGAGCCGTGCTGAACCAGCAGCTGGGGTTATCCTGGAGACCCTCAGGACTCATGTGCCTGAACTCTGCTCATACTTCACCACAGCCCATGGTAGTGCCACTGCACTGACCTGCTCCCAGAGCTTGTCCCATGGGGTCAGCAGTGTCTCACGGGGTCAGGTGCTGTGCAGCCATGGCCCATCCCCAGCCCAAAGCTCCCCCTTATCCTTCCAAAGCCTCTCCCACCCTGTGGCTGTGCTCCTCATCTTCCTGCAGGGGTGCACATAAAGCACACTCCTCTCAGGTGCAATCCCCTCTGCCTGCTTCCCTCCCCAGCTCTCCCAGGCTGCCTTGGTACCTGTTCTCCTGGTGACACAGGCTGGTCCCCAGCAGCACCCCTGAGCACCTCTGCTGGCATGGCTGGAGGGGCTGCCCCAGTCCCAGTGTGCTCCTTCTCTCTCGGAGGGATTTCCTGCTGGGGAAAAGCCATCAGACTGCTCAGTCCCTTTGAACAATGGCTGTTCACATTCCCAACAGAGCAACTCAGAATATTCTCCTCCACCTACAAACCTGCTCTGGGCCTGGGCACTCACAGGTTGGTGACAACAGTTGGGCAGCCCCAAAGAGGAGCAATGCTGGGGGGGACAGGTCCACCGTTAACACCGCACTGTCCTCTGAGTGCAGGAACAGAACCGGGGGAAGGCAGGTAAACACAGGGGCTGGGGGCCATCTCTAGTTTGCTGGGATGCATCCCACATAGACTGCTGGGACAGCAGTTCTGGGGAGCAGTAACCACACTGTTGCACCAGAGGCAAAAGAAGCTGAGGCCAGAGCACAGGCTGAGTGCAGATATGTTCTTGTATGAGTGTTTGGTGCGCTGAAAAGGAAAGTCCAGTGACAACTGTGAAGTCCAGTGGCCATTCTTGGCAGATGCAGGGAAGCAGTTTGGGCAGGAGGTTACTCTCAAGAGACCAGACAGAAGGACATGGAGCTGCAAGGCTCCAAAGAAAAGTCTGTGGCATGAGTCTTGGAGGACATGGCAAGACAGCCCTGGCTCACCTGCTGCGGAGCCAGCCGGTGCTCCCGGGCCTGCCGCCTCACCCGCTCCTCCTCTGCCTGCCTCCTGCTCTCCTCCTCTGCCGACTGGGCCATGTGCTCAAACCGCAACCGCAGGCTGCTGGTGCCACTGGAAGCTCCTGTGAGGAGACAGCTGATTGACCCAGCCCTGCGTCTTCCTTCCACCACCCCAAGCATCCAGGAGAAACCCCGACTGCTGCCTCTTCCAGAGAAACTTGCAGTCAGCCACCTTCTCCTGCCCTCCAGCACAGGTAAAACCCCTACCCCACCACAGCACACACCTGCCAGCAGGCTGCCACAGAGGGACTGTGAGGCCCACAGCTTCCTAAGCCCAGGGCTGGTACTCAGGTCTCACCTGCCTCCAGGGGTCTTGTTTTCTCATAGGAGGAGGTGGGAGCTGCCATCTCATCAAAGCCAGCAGCACTCTGCAAGAAGAAGTGAAAGAATTGTTCAGCCCATTGGGCAATGCCCGTGGTTTTGCATGTTGCTTTTGCATGTTGTTTTTGATCACATACAAGGTGTGCCTTTTGTCAGTGCACCTCCATTTGCTGCTGTTAAATTCAGAGCTAGTGCTAATCTCTTCTGAGGGCAGGACAACATTCCCTCTCTGTGGCAGGCCCAGCTAGCGTGCAGCAGGGACAGGACCATGCGGGTGGTTTCAGGTGTTTGCATCCTCCCCTGCTTTCTCCAGCTCCCGAGGACAGTGACGCTGGTGCTGTACCAAGTACAGCCCTGTGTCTCCAGCAAGGGAAGGAGGTTTCAGGGAAGGCACTCTCACTCCTCTTCCAAATGCCCCAAAGCCCCAGGATCTGCATCTTTTAGGCTATCACACCCACGCAGATCACAGCCACTTGAAGGACCCCCTCTGGGGACCAAGCCTTCAGGGCAGCCTGCCAAGCACAAAACTGATCTCAGTGCACTCTGAGATGTGACCGTAGACGAGGCTTTGCCTGGTGTCAGCCCAAACACAAAACCTGAACCAGCAACTTGGTGACCTCTTCTCACAAACAGCATATTATCTATGCCAATCTCATCCCTGCTGGAGTTTGTCAAGGTGTGCAGGAATATTTAGCACCTGAACAGACCATGAGGCACTTCTTGACAGGAGTGAAAAACTTGCAGAAGGTAACACCCAGCAGAGAAGTGAGAGGTGATAGAGTGCCATGCACTGCATTAGTCTCCCCAGGCTGCATTCCTCTGCACCCTGTGGTATTTTACATTCAGTTCCTTCCACAGTTTGCACTGGGTACTGGGATCTCAGCTCTCCTGGGGGAATCCCTTCTCTTTCAGCTAGGCAAAAAGCAGCGGTTACAAGGAAGCAATTGCAGGCTGCAGCAGTCTTACCTTATCCACTCTATCCTTCTGGACCCCATAACGGCCTCCAAACCCCTTGGCATAGTCTGTATGGAAAAAAAAAAGAAGTTATTTTAGAGTATTTTGTGCGCACCTCTGACTTCAGTATGCTGTGACCAGTGGAATGAATTTGCACGTGTTATCTCTAGTTAATTCCACTTGTGATGAGACATAGATAAAGCTAAGTGCTCCGGACAGTAGCTTTTAGGACTAATCCCTCCCTCCTTTCAACTAAGGGCACAGGTGTGCAGGGCTGTAGCTGCCAACCCGAGCCCAAAGCACCAGGGTGAGGCCAGTCACCCCACCTGACTGGAGTGTGGCCCTCTTCAGGGAGGTCAAACATGCTGCACAAAAGGCACTCCTGGGATCTGCTCTGCCTCATTCCTCTGTGAGAGCTCATGACTTCGGAGCGTGTCTTGTGTGTGTGAAGAGCAAATCTGAGCAGAACCAGGGCAGCGAGGTTACAATGAGCTCATGGTTAGGAGCGTCCCTCACAGGGAATGGCAGAGTCTGGGAGTCCTGACTGAGGGACCACACTGCGTGTCTCCCACTGATCCAAGCTCCCACCTACTCTGCCCTTGTGCTTTGGGGTTCACTGTGTCTGCAACGTGCTGGACACATTCTGTTTTCAGCAGCTGGATCTCTTACTATGAACCACAAGCTCCAGACACAGGTCTGTGTGTGCTCCAAGGAAACTACTACCACCTCTGGCAATATTGCCTGACCTCTTTGGGATGCGTGGGGCTGCACTTCTTCCTGATGGTCCCAGCCAAGGGCATTCTTGTCCTGACGATCCCTCTGAACCCCAAATTTCCCACCAAAGCCCACAGAATAGTCTTCAGCCACAGGGATCCAGATCAGGGCATGGAAGAGAACACACAAGGGAGGGAAGGAGATGAGTGGCAGCAGTGTGAGCTCAGGCTGTTCACAGGTTTTCCATGCCCAGGACTTAGACATGGAACAAGGTCAGATTTCCCCACTGGTGTTGCAGCAACAGCCCTCCCTCCTCCCTGGGATATGTCACCTGCTATTAGCACCTGCCTGAGCTTCCCCTTCACCCTTCCTTTGGTAATATGCTGTCAAGAGATCCCTATGCCCACAGAACTCTTCTGCTCCTCTTCCTTTAGCCTGAACGCTTTCTAGCAGCCATGCACATTGCAATGGCTTTCCTCACCTGGCCCTTCCCAACAGCTGCCTGTAGCTCTTCCACCATTCTTGCAGAAGACTGCAAATGCCCTGCACTGTGCCCATAGTCCCAGTGGGCACAGTCCCCAGCTCCAGTCATGACACTGCCTGCTCCCCCTCCTCAGCTGGCTCCCCCAGCTCCCCCACCCCCTCCAGCACCCCCAGTTCCCTCAGTCTTCCCCAGCTCACCTGGCTGCCAGGGCTCACCTTTCTGAGAGTCATGCTTCTCTGCCTGGCTCTTGTAGTCAAATCCCACAGCTGCTTTGTCCACCTTATCCCTTTCCACTCCGTAACGGCCACCAAAGCCCTTGGAGTAATCTGAGGTGGAGCATGGAGTCAAATGCTGCCCCCAGCATGGGGCTGGTGAGGAGAGGATAGGGAGCAGCACTCGGGAGGGCCCCCAGGGAGACGGGACAGCAGCAGAGATTATGGAAAACACCACAGAATGTGAAGGGTTGGAGGGGACAGAGTGGATGCTAGGAAGCATCACGGATGAGAGCCCACAGGAATGAGGCACAAGGCAAACGGGGTCAGGGCACCAGGAGACACAGCAGGCCAGGAGCAAAGAAGAAAACAGATGTGCCAAGGACAGTGGCACATGGGGCCACAAGGGAGATGGACTGGGAACAGGAATCTGAAATAAGAGACAGGAGACTGTGCCACAGCCAACAGCACAGGATACTGGGAGCAGAAGAGAAGCTGGGCAAAGGGTCAAGGGGCCACACATGCCCATGAACTTGCCTTTCTGGGATGAGTGTTTCTCCACCTCGCTCTTGTATTCAAAGCCCAGTGCTGACTGGAACAAAAAGGGGAGGACTGTCAATGATCCTGAGGGCCAAGATGGGTCTCAGCCTCCCTCCCCTGGGGCCAGGCTGTCACTGGCTCCCTGTCTTGTGCTGCAGCATGCAGGGGCAAACACCACAGCCCCTGGAGAAACAGTGTTCTGCCTTGGTGGGACAGGCCCACCACAGCAATGCACACCAGCCATCTCCACAGCTGCCCCACACTGTGGGGCCACTGCCCTGCACACAGCTGAGCTGTGCTTCAGCGAGACCAGGACACAGGGTACATCCTACATGCCCTGAGCCTTGAGAACAGCCCCAGGCTGGCATGTGGCAGTGCTCCAGGGCCAGCACAGGCCACAGGTATGGATTTCAGCTGCACTGTCCAACACACCTTGTCCGCTCGGTCCCGCTGGACTCCGAACTTGCCACCAAAGCCCTGGGCTGCATCTGTCTGCGAGGAGTGCTTCCCAACATCAGCAACGTACTCGTGTCCTACTGCGCACTGAGAGGAGAGACAGTGTGACATGAGCATCCATGGTGGACAGGCAGAGGCACCACAGCTGCTCCCACACGCTGCTGACACGCCCACAGCCACAGGTAACAGGTCCAAGCTGGCTGTGCCGATGGTGCCCAGGCTCTCCACGTGGCCTTTGCCAGCAGCAGCTCTGCTCAGAGGCCTGGGAGGAGCCTCGAGGGCTGTCATCTCACAAATGTCCCCACTGCCAGCTCATTAAGCAAAGCGTGGGATGCTGAATGCCACCTGCTCTCAAGTGCTGGTGGAGTTGCATGGTGGATAATCACAGGGTAGACAAGAGAAAAGTGCAGACAGGCACATACAGCTGAGAACTCCAGGCAGAGCTCTGGCACCCGTTTCCCCTTCCTGTATCTGACAGTGAGGGCCAGCAAACTTGGCCACAAGCCAAGCCAGGAACCTGCTCTCCCTGCTGGAGGTGCTGTGGCCAGGAACCACAGACACTATGCCAAAATGGAACAGCTGTGCTCAGACTCTGCTGGACCACAGTGAGGGTGCTTTTGTTGAGCAACTTCTTGGCTTTTGTCCGGTTTCACCAGGATGCTGCAAGTGTTCAGTTTCTGCCCCTTCCCCTGAGAAGCGTGTGCAGTTCCTGACTACAACAGCTCTGGCAGGGAGAGCAGGGAATTTTTGACGACAGTCTTTCTCACCCTGCCATGCTGGTATTGCTCAATCCCGCAGTGACCTCACCTATGGAACTCTACTTCGATCTAAACATCTCACTTCTGAGAAAGAAGCATTAAATGCTGAAAGGTGCAGAAGCATGATATGATTATCACAAAACATAGACCAGATCTGATGTCTAGGGCTTTATCTCAGGGAGATATGAGCTCGGTAATGCAGAATATGAGGAGGGAATTACTACACATTAGTTCTGCAAGCACAAGTAGGGAGGCACCAGATTTAATTGTTATGCAGCAGACTTGAACAGCCCCAGAAAGACTTTCACAGCTAAAGGGAGCATTGCAAAGAAGTAGAGACGAGTTGCACAAATTAATTCAAACAGATCCTGGAGACAGAGTATGGGCTAGCTGGACATGTGTGAATCTGTGCAGCCATGCAAACTCTCCATACTGTTCCTTCAGGGTCAGGCCAGAAAACAGAGATACCCCCTCCTTTATGAGAAAAGCACTTTTCCACTGAGGCTCAGGGAAGCCTCCCACAGCTCTTACCTTATCCATTCGGTCTCGCTCTGTTCCAAATTTGCCCCCATAGCCATAGGATGCCTTGGGGCCAGTCTCCAGCTCCTTCTTCTTGATGACCTCATGCTCCTCTGATACCTTGTTCCTCAGCTGATGGATGCTGGAGACAGAGACAGGGCAGGTGGGTGTGGGATTTTGCAGAGCCAAAGCCCAGCAGGACGTACAGGCAGGACCAGCTGCCTGCGCTGGGCTCCCCTGGGGTCTGGCAAGGGACCAATGGGTTCAGGGGGACATCCAGCCCCTCTCATGCAGCCCTGTTCAGGTTTACATCCCGACCTTCTCGGGACCCCACATCTCCTTTTTCCTGCAGGGCTGCGCTGGGCTGTCCCGAGGTAGCTGTGCCGCGGGTCAGCCCCGGGCAGGGAAGGAGCTGGCAGCCTTTGCCCTGGGGCAGCCCCATGTGCAGGCGTTCGGGCCCCGATCCCCCACGGCTGCGGGGCGGGACTCGGCCAAGAGCCGCAGAACGGGGCCCGCGGAGGCTCCCGGCCCGCCGCAAACCAACCCGGCTGTGCCCGCGGTGTCACCCCGCTCTGCTCCGCAGGGCCGGGCAGCCCCAGCAGGGCCCGTTCTGTGCCCGGCAGGGCCCGTTCTGTGCCGGGCAGAGCCCGTTCCGACCCTGGCAGGGCCCGTTCTGACCCGGGCAGGGCCCGTTCTGTGCCGTGGGGCCGCTTCCCCACGCCCTGGTCCCAGTCCCAGTCCCGGTCCCGGTCCCACCACACTCACTCGATGTGCCCGGCACGGCCGGAGCCCTCGATGGTTTTGGCTCCCCAGCGCTGCTCCCGCTCGGAGATGTCGTTCTGCGGACGAACGTGGCCGTCAGCCCCGGCCCGCACGGGGCTCTCTGCGCCCCGTCGGACCGGGCCGGGCCCAGGGGTCCCGCACCCCGGGGTCCCGCACCCCATCGCTGCCGGGCGGGGCCGGGCCGGGTCTCCGACGCACTCCGCAGAGCCGGGGCTCGCTGTTGGGGAAATCGCTCGAGAAACCACAGTGACCCCAACCCTCGGGCCTGGCCATCACAGCCTTATGGAAGCTCTGAACATATATTCAATAAAATGAAGCAGCAATAAAGTATTTCTTAATATGCAATAAAGCTGAAAATATGTATATATGAAATAGAATGGAAAAGTTAATGCAAAATCTTTGTGTTCACGCTTTGTTTGAATGCTTCCACAAATAGAAGAAATAAAGTAAGCAAAAAAATTTGACAGAGTAGATTTTTCCAGAAACATTAATAACTTGAAACTATAAGAAAGGAATTTGATTTTCTGCCCCAAACTAGAATTTCTTACTGGAAATAATTCGGCAAGACTGAACCCCACAAACACAGGACTCTTGTCCAACAGGAGAAGCTTACTATGGAAGTAATAGAGAACCAAATGGAAAATTAAAATCGTGATCCTGTATGAATGCAGAGGGTTCCCCAGGCTGAACCCTTCTGCTGTCTCCCCAGCTCAACTCAGAGTTGAACTAGATAGAAAACAAGAATGTAAGAGGCACAGAGCTGCACCTGCACAAGCTGACTGTAAGCACAGTAGGATTTTACATCTGGAAAAAAGATAAATGAGGGAAATCCTGCATCCTGTACAGTTACAAACAGTGTGGGACAGAGAAAATTTGTTTGCTGTGTCTTGTAACATATGTTGTGGAGAGGACAAGGGAGTTACCCTTGTAAAAAGGGAGTTTCTTAAACAAGTAGGTTTGAGAAACCCTGCGTATTTTGTATTTCTTAAGTGCCATTACTTGTGGTCAGACATGAGGTATGCAATGGTGTAGGAAGTTCTGGAGACTAAACCTGGAGATGTGTCAGAAGTGGCTCAGACGGGTGACCTGACAGTGCCTGCGAGGGGCTGATGGCACTGGGTTGATCCTGCCCTGCCAGCAGTGCTGCAGCCCTGCCCCAGCAGCAAGAGCCCAGGGCCAGGAGCTCTTCACACCATCCGTGTAACAGTTTGCACCTCAAACACTCACCACGAAATCGGGGTCTGTGTCCCAGTCGTCTCCCTGAGCCTCCACTTTCACTGACACGTTGTGTCCCACAACTGCTTTCCACATCTGCACAACAAAGACATTCTGTCACTCTGCGTGGCCACACACGGCCACAGCTGGCTCGCACTCAGTCACAGCAGAACCTGGGCTGGAAGGGGTCCTTACAGGCCACCTGTCCTCACACATCTGTCCCTCATGTAGCACAGGGCACCCCCAGGTAGCTGCTCCTGAGCCCCAGAACATCTTACAGCAAAGCACACGGGGCATGTAGGTGTAAACAATGGCCTTCATGCACCCTGACTCTGCAGTAGGAGCACACACATTATAACGTAAATGAATGCTGGCATCCAATTATCAGATTCTGCTTTTCCAACACACATTGATTCCTGTGCTGTGGGAGGCTGTTCCCTGAGTTACCCCTGCTCTTAGTTCAGTTGCACACACCATGGCGTGCTCCAACACCGTGACGCTGTCCTGTTGGAACTGAGGTGGACTCCTCCAGCCTCGTCTGCTTTTCAACCTTTTAATCCCTGCCCATAGCCTAGAGAAGGGTCAGAGCAAGGCTGGACAGTGGTGTGACAGACCTTGTGCTGTGTGGTATTCATGTCTGTCACGTGGAGAAAATGGGAAATGGGGCTAAAAGCACTGAAGATGTAGGGCTAAACTGGCTGAGGCTGTGGTGGAACTGCTGCTGCAGGCCTGGAGGAAGTGATGGGGCCAGGAAGAGGAAGTTAAAAGTAATGTGAAATCTAAAACTGCTGCATTTCATTTTCAAGGTGACTGAAAAATCATGATGAAACAGCCCCCTCGAAACAACTGCATTTTTCCAAAATGAGAGACAGAGAGAAATGATTAGTTTGCTGCCCCTACACCCCAGAGCAATCACTCTCATCAGAGCTCCATCCCTTCATATCCCACCCCTTTTTCTGCCTGCAGTGTTGAGGAACTGCAAGTTCTCTGTGTCGCCAAAAGCAGCTTTTTTGTGGGGTAGAGAAAGATGGAAGAGAATGCGCAGGAAAGATTGAGCTGAGCCCTGGTCTCCATCACACCAAACTGTGACCAAATCAGCAGGAAGGAAGAGAGCTCCTTTGTGCTGGGTCTTCAGTTAACAGCAGCTTTTACCGTGTGCTGCTCAGCTGTGCTAACCCCTCACTCCCACGGCTGTGTGGAAGCCTCAGACAGCCCTGAGCTCTTGGGGCAGTTGCCCTCTGTGAAAGCAAATTGTTTATGCTTAATAATTACTAATTCTCTCTTTATGCTAAGTAATTAACTGTCCCACATCAAAAGCTGCTTAAGTGAATAACCTTCCGGTTTAGTGCAATGCACTGCTCAGTTTCGAGTTGTCCTTTCCAGAGAACCAGCACTGTAAGATCAGGGAGCGAAGAGAACAGAAACCAAATAAGCACAGCAGTCATGATTCTTTCTTTTGTTAAACCAAGAACACGTAGTCTGCTAAGAGAGAAGATGAAGGGCTAAGGCAGATACAGTGAAGACCCAGTTTTAGGCTTTCTCCAGGTGCCTCAGGATCACAACCAGTCTGTGACATTGCCAACTGACAGCAATCTGGTGCCAAACAGGATACAGTTAATTGCAATTAGAAGCAGGGGATGTGGTAAGGCTCATGTAGACAACACAGCCCCTTCTAACACCTTTCTTCTCCTTCTCCTGTCTCTCATTTATTGGCATCTCTCATGCCAAAGATTTTTAATGTTGCTAATTTTTGTAAAGCATAAACCAGCAATAATAACCAGCTAGCACAGGGCTGCTCATCATCAGGGCAGCTGATTTGAGCTCAAATAAGATGATTCAAGGTTTCAAATACTGCTGAAAATGGTTCTTGACCACCCATTTTCCAAAGCCACCTACTATGCATTGTGGGAACCATGACAAACCACAGGCTGTAATCGCATCACAAGGCTCTGGACACTGTCCATATGAGAAATATCAGCCAGGGTAGCATCTCAATCCTTTTTTGTCCCATTTTCCCCTAGGAAAACATCCACTACAGCACAAATACAGGGCTACCAGACAGCAGAGTTTTGCTGGTAGAGTTGGAAACGTGGTTCTTTAGAGCCTCAAACACAAGAACCACAATGATGACAAGACAATAGCCTGAGAAACAAATGTTGAGCATCCACTTGGACATGCTTGTTCAGGAAGTTCTCTTTGCCCACCGAAAACTATAATTTTTTGTAGTAATTTCTCACTTTCCACTTCCAAAACCCCCTCAAGTTTTCTTACCTTTAAAGGCTCACGAGTTCCTGCTGGCAAACTTGCTACTTTTTGCTCAGGCACCTGCTGCCAGTGACAGCTTTGGACCTGTGTCTGCTCTGGGTTCCTGTTTTAACTTCAGCTCTTTTCACTTCCTGCGTCCCAGCCCCCAGCTCTGCTCAAGTCTTGAGTCCCAGAGCTGGCCCCAGTGCTGCCGTTCCCCTGCAGGCTGCCTCTGCCCTGAGACACTGGTGCAGTGCAGACATAGAGAGCACACATCAGCACACTGGAGCCCACCAGGTCCCAGCACACTTGTGTTTTCAAGAAGACTCTTGCATGGGTATAAAAAACAAAGTTCTGGTGGAGGCACAAATCCTGAAGCCAGGTCTTGAGCATGCCTTTTACTTTCAATATCTCTCCCCATTACTTGGAGGATTAAGGAGAATGCTAACCGTGCTCCTGAACCTTTTCCCATTCTGCCCAGTGGCCTGAAAACTTTTGATCAAACTTGGGCTTCTTGTTGCAACACCACCAGTACCCACATGAGAGAACCAGAGTGGGCACAGTCCAAAGGCTGCGCTGAACTGAAGTCAGTTGTCCGGTGACATCTGTGTCTCGGGCTCCTGGGAGGCAGCAAGCACTCCTGAAGAGTCTAGCACACTGGTGCTTTCATTGTGCTCAGGAGCAACTTACCTGTGATTGCACCCTCCGTTGTTTCTCCTCAGCACTGGCCTTAATGCAGCTCTCATTATCAGGGGTGGGTTGATCTGCCCTCGGTGAGGGCACCTGCACAGGTTCCTTGCACCTCATCGTGAGCTTTGTCGGCCATTCCCAGATCCTTACACCTGTCCTGTAAAGGGAGCTGAGAGGATCAGGAAGACACCCCTTAGAGCTCCATGCAGTAACTTGTATCCCCTCCCTCTACACCCCTGACATTGCCTTCCTCTGGGCACATAACCAGACCTGTCCCAGCCGCAGTGGTGCTGCTGAATTGGCATGAGTGTCTGAGGATGACAGAGCACAGCTTTGTTGAGTGAGCTTCCTTCTCAGCCTTCACTGTAGATCAAAAATCAAGACAGAACAGGTCCATTGGAGAAGAAATAAAACGTTGAAATGTTTGAGATAGGAACCATCAGCTAAAAGGTCCCATCTTTCATCAGGTCAAACCACAAAGCTGTTCAGTCAGACTATGCTTAGCAGACCAGGAGGTCCTTTTGAGGTTTTATTCCTATATTTAATCTAAGCTATAACTGTTCTGTCTGTAGGTATAAAACATTTAAATGTATCTGAGACATCAGAATCATGCCTTTCTTCAGTTCAGGAAAAAAATGCATGGGCTTTAAGGAAACATACTTTGCTTACAATCCTTGCTGCTGTTAAACACAGTGGAAACATTATCTACAGCCTTACAACACCCCAATGCTGGCTTTTGATCCAGTGGTGGTAGGGGACTGTAGCCGTGACTGTGAACAAGGGTACTTGTTTTTGGCTACAGAAAATTGGACAGTTGAACTGTCCCATCTGAATGACCAGCACATTCTAGGTCACTGTTGCCAAATTCTCTATCTGTCCTGAGGTTACACAACTCTAACAAGGTGCAGTGTTCAGGCAGATGTGGAAAAACAAATCCAAGTAGGTATTGTTTTACTGGAATCGCTTTCACGATGCATGCAATGGTCTGGGTTGGAAGGGATCTTAAAATCATTAGTTCCACACATCCCTGCCATGAGACATTGCCCATTCAAGTGCTATTTCCTTATTCTGTCAGCTGAAAAAGGCTGAGCAAGAGGTGAGACAGGGAAAAAAGTCATCACCTAGGCATTCACATTGTATAAAGAAACAGCTTCTGCAACCATCATACAAGGCAGTGCACACAAAGGAAACCTGCAGTCCCACTGTGTCCCACACGAGCTGTGCTGATACAGCAGCACTGCACCCTCCACTCGCACAGTTACATGGCAATGTTACACAAACTCCATCTGAAAAATAAACTTTATTATACATACAGGAGTTCATACCCCAGGAAGCTATACACAAACCATTTGGTCACTGAATTTGACATAGTTAGAGGAAGTTCACACTGATAATCACAGACAGTCCACAAGAGGATACCTAGTGCCAGTGCTCTGGACCTGCCAGAGATCCAGCTGGTTTAGCTACCAGTGAAATCAATCCACCCTCAAACAGGCTTTCTGCACTGGCTAGAGCAGCTTAGTTTATCAGCAATATCAAAAGAACTACCTCTTTCCCATGGGAAAAATGTGACTGTTAATGCTCTACTAAGAGGCAGATAGGATTCTCCTGGCCAGTACTCTGAATGAAACGACCACTCAGGATCTGACAACGAACGCCACTTAACTTCCTCTGCATTCAACATTCTCCTTTTGGAAGAGGGCAGTCTCAAATTCAGGAGGTTTTTAGAAAACATATGGAAATATATCCATATTTCCATATATCGTAAAAGATTCAGTCCATTTGCATAATTTGATTTGGGTCCAAACATGCCCAAACACCAGCACCAGCTTTCTACACCAGAGGGTTCTAAAACCAGAACTCTGGTTCCTTCCTCAGCACAAGGGAGAGAGGTTATTTCTGGAGTTTCTGCATTTGCTTTGGGTCCATGCAGCACATTAAGGACCCCTTCAACACAGCCTGTGCAGGTTCAGTCTCGTGACGATTATTCAGTGGATGAGAAGGCAGGAACAGGGCTGCTCTACTAGAGGTAAGGCAGCACCTTCCATCATAAGAGGTGCACAAATGCTATAAATAGAAGGATTTTTAACTTAAGAGCTGAAAGGTTTCATGTTTCCTATTCCTTTTAAATAACTAAATTACTGGCATTATTTTACAGGCTTGTCAGGGCAGACATATGACTGATTTTAAATGGAATGCTCACCAGGGCCAGATATACTAATTTTGGCCCTTCTTCAACAGGAGATGCAACTGAGCAGGAAACATGATTTTAAAATTCATATGCCTTAAAGTGCCCATAACTTCCTTAGGATATGCATTTCAGACAGCTCGAGCCATGGAGCAAATCTAAGGGGTGGAAGAAAGGGAAGACAATTCTTTTATATCCAGCTACAGTGTTCTCCCAACCCCACACATGGATTCAGCCTAAGATTGTGCAGTTTTAGAAGTGCTGAAGTACTGCAGCAACTCAAAGAGTATTTTTCTTATTCCTACTGCAGCACAATACTATCTAAAATGAGTGGTAGTGCTTCCAGGTACAGGAAGAGATGCTGTCCTTGAGGCTTGCAGCACAGCCCTGGCTCAGAAGATGAACCACTCAGAAACACCGAGGGATGGGCAGATCTCCTGGGAGCAGTTCCCCAGCACCAACACTGACAGCAGGTGCTGGGTGCAGCTGCTGCTTCAGGGCTGGTTTGGGAAAGGCTGCAGCTTGGGCAAGTGCTGCCCTTCTGTGAGGGTGTGCAGGCCCTCAGCATGCACAGGGCTGAGGCTCGAGGAAAAGCTGTCACTTCTATTCACAGGTGGCCTGTGAAGCACAGAAAGAGCAGGACATGGAGAGCAAGCAGATACGTGGCCACTAGCAGGGGCAAGCGGGCCCGGGAGCGGAAGAGAGAGCGTAACAGGCGTCGTAGTCCAGGAGTACTCCGGGTCTGGAAAAGTAAAGAGAGAGCAGTCACTACAAGGAATGGCTGTGGCCCCAGCTGCCTTAATTCAGAGCTCTCCAGACCATGGAGATAAGCTTGTTTAAGCTAATGAGCATAAACCTTCCCCAATTTGCTCCACTGTCAGATCCTAACACTAGGGCAATGCTCATGAAATGTTCCCCTTCCCCTGCTCTCTGCAGGCTGTCCATAAACCTGTCCTTCAGCTCTTCTAGAACATCCCCATCCAGTTTTGTTTCCAGCATGGTGAGAGCAGAAAAACTATACAGTCCCTGACTGATTTATGTGTGTCTACAGAGGAAATTTAGTGCTGTAGGTTCACAGTTTCTTGAATCAGCTGGGGCTCACATAACTGACAGCTGTGAATGTTGAATTCTTACTCTGCTGGGATTATTATCCATGGAGTCGATCAGCAAGGACTGCTCGTGACCTGGAGTCATATCAATGTTGGCACTTAAAGAAGATGACCACTCACTTGACTGCAACCTGCCACAACAAATATGAAATCAAATTCAGTTTTTTGTTATGATGTCTCAAATCAACATTGTAATCAAGCTTAGGAAAGAAGGTATTTCTCAAAAAAGGAATCAACCCCTGCAAGCATGCCCTGGCTTCACTTGCCAAAAGCTGGTTCCATTTGAACAGGTCTCATGCCTCCTGAGCTCACACTGAGCAAAAGAACAGGGTGGCCCAGCTAGCAGAAGTTCTTCTTCCTTTCAAGTGAAATTTTATAGTGTTACTTGAAAGAAGCCAGGGCAGATAATACACCTGTATGCTTTAAATTCTACGAAGTTTTTCTGGAAGCCAGCTCTGGCTGCAGTAGTGCTGGTTCTTCCTATTTTCTAGTGACAGAGGCAGCAGTCACATCCTGGGGCTATGGTTCATTAGTGAGATCAGCTGCAGGAGACTTTTATAGACTTTAATGCCAGAAGGAGGTATAGTTGTCCAAACCTGGTAGCAATTACCAGGAAACTTCATCCAGAATTCTTCCATACACACCATTATTTTTTGGCTAAATCAGCAAGTGTGACAGAAGAAAGGCATTGTTTTCATGTAAAAGACTCCACTAGTCCGTAACTCCAGTTACTTGAACTACCAGGAAATGCACAGCACATGTGCCTACAATCAGGACATGCGCTAAACCCCCCTCCATAGTCAATGAGGAGAATCAAGCATTTTGGACCTGCTGCTCACTGCATCCTAATCCCAACATTTAGTCCAGATCAGCTGCCTTTGCTCTGCTGACTCTCAGGGCATCCGTGCAGTGCCCTGAGATAGGCAGAGCCCTGTGCAGTGCAGACCCCAGTGCTGGATAGTGGGCACAGGGCAGGACAGGGGACTAGGCTGAAACTAAGCCTGGGAAAGGTGGACTAAAGTCCTAAGTGTTTAATTGTTTCTCCATAACCAAAGTAATAAAAAGTTGATGTTAATTGGCAATACACTAAAAATGAGTGACATTCTTCAAGTCAAAACTGTTTCAGGCATGACAGGTGCTTACTGAACAGACAAATCCCCTGGAAGCATGAGAACTCCTCTTCAGCCTGCACCCAAGACTCAGTCTCCAAATTTTATTTTCTAGTAGTTAATTTAACTAATCGAGAAAGCTGGCATCTAATTTCTGGACAGAACTTGTCTTAATGCCTAATCATTAGTCTCATCCTATCTGCCTACAACTGAAGGAATAGTTGCCCAGGGAGGTTGTGAAGTCTTCCTCTTTGATGATTCTCAAAAGCCATCTGGACATGGTCCTGGGCAACTGGATCTAGGCTGAGCAGGGGGCTGGGCCACATGGTCTTTGGAGGCCCCTCAACCCCTCTGGACCCCCACCCTCAATCTTTCTGTGATTCTCTGACAGACACAGTAGTTGTCTCTGCGCCACCAGTGCCATTTGACAGAAGGATGTGATGAAGTGCATATGAAAAACAGAGGTAGGACCAGCACACTTCTGTGGAGCTAGTGTTTGTTTGCTCAAGCTGCCTCACCTCCTGATCTGATCCTGTGCTGCAAAAAGTGCCTCCTCTGCAGCAAGCCGACGGTCCCGTTCTTCCTCCAGCTGCTCCTCCAAATACTTCATATCCTGCTTTGTGCTGCTATGTAAATGTTCTGTTTCAGATAACCTGTCAGAAAATAACAAAGCATATGCCAAAAAAAGGCCCAAATCATGGACTATTGTGTTTCTA